TCTAACCCCCTTCTCACACATGTATTTAGTACAGTTTCATTTATCTGCTGGAGGGAAAACCCCCAGCCGTGCTACTATAGTCTCAGACTCACACAGCACATTATAAGGAATAATAATAATAATAATAATAATTCCGCCATCCATTTCCACCACAAAGCCAGCCAGCCAGCCAGCCAGCCAGCCGTCCAAGTCCACCCTCCAAGTATCTACACCACTCGCCTAAGCTCAAGCCAGATTTCTTTTCCTTTATAGAACTTAATTACTATAGAACTTAATTACCTAGTACCTCACTTACCCCGACTAGTTACCTAGCTAAGTTGGATTAAGTAGGAAGTACCTAGGTACAGTAGATGTAAAATGTAAAATGTAAAATGTGGATTTATGGACTCTGCTTGATCGATCTGTTATTCTTAGGTATGGTTATCGTGTTGAAGTGCGAAGTGTTGGGTAGATGATGGATACCTAGGTGGAGTTATTAGTAGAGGGAGGTGATGATGAGATGGGGAGGATGCGATAGGATGAGGATCGTAGGGTGGATAGGTGGGTGGTATATTACTACTGTATATATAATCTTACTTAGATGGCGTAATGATACAATATAACATAACACAGTAAAAACCTTACTCCCTTTGTACGAATAGATGAACTTCATATACACAGAAACAAAGACACACGACACAAATCACCACAAATCAACGCACATCAAGCATATAGGTAGGTAGGTAGACACGAGTATAGAACCAATCAATCATTCATATTTTTCTTTCTCTCTTTCCTCTCATACTTTCTCATCCCATGCATCCATGCATCCATGCATCCATGCATCCCATACCATCCCACCCCATCCATCCATCAATCCCATACCATATTCGCAAAAACCCCAAACCCACAAGATCCATCAAGGGCTCATGTAGTACAGGAATCTTCCGATGAAGATAATACAAAGAGGGAAGAAGAAGAATCAAAGTGCCTCTCCCACCCCAAAATTAAGCAAGACCCGTGTCAACGAAAAAACTTTGCCACAATCTCTCTTTTTTCGCCTCAACGCGACTCGACAACATTCTCAATAAAAAAATAGAACGAAAAAAAAAAAAGTGGTATATCATATACTCCCTCAAAACCCCCCACTCAAAACGCCAAAATGCAAAGGTAGTGATCATTACCAGAATTAGACACACGTAAAAAAGCAACAAACGAATCAGACAGACCCGACCAACGACGCTCGCTAAAACAAGAAAGGAATAGAACAAGAAGAGGAAAAAAGGAGAAATGTATGTACAACGCGAGGAGTGGTGTGTGTGGTGTGGTGTAGTGTGTGTGTGTGTGTGTGTGTGTGTGTGTGTGTTTGGATCAAGCCTTTAAGCTCTTACGACGTCCCATGTACAGGATACTTCTTCGCTCTTTGGCCTTCCTCGGTGGACTTTCGTTCTTCTCGGTAGGCGGTGATTGAGCTGCTCCTTTCAATATGCCTTGGTATGTCAATGGTGTTTGAGGCGTTAGCGGCATTTGAGGTGTCAAGGGCATACGAGGAATTCCCAATTCTGGTACTGAAGCTTGAGTTGGGAAGGCGAGAGACTTTCTTCGGTGTCGAGTAGGAGGTTCTGGGATGGGCGCGATAGGCGGTGGTGCGAGGTTGAGCATGGAAGAGTTGCGGTGTGAGAAGGAGCTGAGTTTTGGAAGAGATGGTTTTCGTGCGGCGTGAAGAGAACGGGTAAGGCCTTTTTTGAAGGCTGCTGCTGCTGCGCTGGTTGGCGTTCTAGGAGTTTCTGATCGAAATTCTTGAGGTGGGAAAGCAGGGGAGGCTTCTGGTGTTGGATAGGGATCGGTAGCAAGGAAGGAGTGGGAGGATGGTTTGTGTTGGAGAGAATGGGTTACTAAAGACGCGAGGTTGGCCATTCGCGTGGATTTGCGTTTGTCATTTGGCTTCATTATGGGTGTTGTTAGGTTGGAGGAGGAACCTGAGGAGGATTGTGTAAGGGAGGAGAACGAAGAGATGGACATTCTGCGGATTGAACTGGTGTGTAGTTTCAAAGGCGATGGTCGTCTTGCTGCTGGTCTCGTAGGACTCGTAGGAGAACCGGATCTGATTTGTACTGGCTTTGGTCCAAAGTAAGACTGAGGTCTTGAACGACTAGACGATTCGAAAGCGGAGGTGGTCGGTCGAGGAGGTGAGGCATTCGTGGTAGGTGTAATGTCGATAATCATAGGTTTGACCATGGTAAACGAGACCGCTCTAGCTGTGACCTCTTGTGATTTCCTACTCGATCCCCTCGACCCTGGCAGCTTCAACTCTGCCTCCATAATCTCTGCTTCTTCCTCCATCGGTTCGAAGTCGGCGAGTGAGTCTGAATCCTCACAGTCCGACAGTGAAGCGTCTTCCTCACTCGATAGGTATAACTCGTGGGGATCCTTCTCTTCGACTACTGATACTTCCTCAATATCCTTTACTTTTGAACCGTCCAAATTTTGCAATTCCAACATGACATCCTTCAACATTGACGAGGCTCTTCTCTCGCTCCTCGCAGGTAGTGCGGGGACCCGAGGGGCCTTCTTCGGTCTTGCCTGTGGAGCGGAACCTTCCATGTCGCTCTCGACCTTGACACATTTGTCCTCCACCAAACCTTCGTAACCACTGTCCTTGGAAGGGGAGCATTGAACGTGCAAAGGAGCAGCATGGACATTCATATCCGACGCCATTTCGAGATCTCTGAACTCGTGTAATTTGGGCATTAGGGGCAGTGGGTGATATATGGGCGACGCAAATAAAGTATATTTGGCTTGCGCGTTGGTCGGCAGGCAGGCGGGGCAATTTCCTTGTCGAGCTTGAATAACTGGGGCAGGAATGCTAGTAGCCGTGAAGCACTTTCCCAACCACGTGAATGGCGAATTGGCCGTGGACCGTAGTAGATTATTCCGGTCGAGCGTACGATAAAGATTTTCGGCTTCAATTTCTTTTTTATCCTATGGGTCCGGGTAATATATCTGGATTCTGTGGGTTGAGGTGGCTCCTGCTCCAAGTGGAGACTGAACGAGAGCAAGTGGGGAGGGGAAGGGGAGAAGGGGGGGGTGTGGATGGTGGTGCGTGCAGGGAAAGCTTGGAGGTTTCGACAGGCACAGGCACGGGTCGAGAGTTGCACCTCCTTGCCGTGTCGTTTCACCTTGACACTCCGCGTTCTTTGGGGGACTCAGGGAGCTTATCGAAACTTGTCGGACGCGATGCAAGAAGATGCAAGAAGATGCAAGAGCGATGCACGATGCAAGAGCAGAGGAGGCGATCAAAGAAGGGAAACTTGCAATGCTTCAAGATATGGGAGAGGAAGCAAGACCGGAGGGAGTACTGAGTAGGTGTGGTAGAGGCAGAGCAGAGGCAGTGGCCGTGGCAGTGGGTGCCGCGGGTTTATGTGTCTTTGGGGCGGATTCGGATTCCTGACAAGAGGGCCGTATATTTTAGATTTTGGCTGTGCACTCACTGCCCACTGCCCACTGCCCACTGCCCTGCACTGCCCTGCACAACACCCTTCTGTACGGAATCTGTACCTGGAGGGAGGAGCAATCGGAAGCAGGCAAGGTGTGGTCGAGTGGGTAGAGATTACTTAGGCCGTCACTAGTTGTTGCTGTAGCCCGGTCTCAGGAGGATTTCGAAGGATGTGAGGGAGTCTGGAGTCCAAACTTGGATGGGCAACCCGTGTGGGTGCTGGCGCACGACTAAAGGGAACATAGACCAGCTCGGCACGGGAAAAGAGTGCAAAGGGTCGAAGGGTAATCTTGCCCTTTCCCCCAGCTGGCGAGTCGTGCTCATCTCATGCTCGTCCAAGGGAAAGCATTCAGATCCTGACGGGATGTTGGAAGGAGCTGCTCCTCTCTACTACGTACACTATGTACACTACGTATGGTATGCGTATACGAATGTTGGCTCTCACCACATCATCATCACCAACACCCATCACCCATCACGGCCATCGCATTCAGGATCTTGATCTCGCGACTTCGTGGACATGAACGTGGCAGCATGATGTGATGTGGCGGGTCTGCTTCCAGCGCGGTATGTCATAACCTGCAATTGGACTCTGTTAAGTCATCTCGTCGTCTCGTTGGCCGCGTTGGCTGCTGGTCCTGTCCTGCTTCCCTGCCAGCTTGTCCTGGCAGAAAGATATGGAGATGCATGACATAGAGGCACTCTACTCCGTACCCGAGCCATCTACAGCAACCACAGCCTGTAGAAATCACCAGGAATCAGCGGCAACGCTAACCATGAAAGACAAGTCAACGGAATAAATTAGATCATTTTTCGGCGCGCGCAACTCGGGGCGGCTGTCGCTGTCTGCTCACAGCTAAGCCGCCGGTTGTCACGATGCGGTGCTGAGCGAGGAAGAAGGCTGGAGAAGGCACTGTCAAAGCTGTCAGAAGCTCACCATCCGCAAAGTCACTTGTCAGCGTTCAAAGTGTGAACGGAAGCCGCTGCTGATTGGCCGACCGCACATCAGCTTAAGGGCGCACAGAACACTCTTGGAGCCTCGCTCTGGAGGGAGGATGCCACCAGGGGTGCCAGGAGCCAGGAATAGCATTTTGGTGGCGTGGAACGGGCGCGGGGTCGGAAAGCGCCCAGAGCCATCCCTCAGAGAAAACTGACACATGCTTCTGATTGGCCGCGTGCGAGATCAGCTTGTTGCAACGCCCAGCCTGAACGGAACGGGAGCAAAAGAGAACCGGGCCCCCAACGTCGAAGGGGCATGGACTGAGGTACGGAGGGAGAAAAAGAAAAGACGGCATGAGGGGGTGGAAAGATATTGCTGCGTTTGGGGGTTCATCCCATCTACTTCTATTAACCTCAAACACCCGCTGGATGCACATCTCCCAGTCATTGGGTTTTGGGTTTGGGGGAAGGTTACCTAGCTTTCTGAACTCTACTCTATTCGTACAAGTACTGTACTATACTGTACACCGGCATGATGGCGTGGCAGTTGGAGCGAGGATCTGCTGATCGTCGTCCGAGTGTTCATGGTCCGAGGCAACCAGTGGGAAGATGGGATGAGGATGGAACATGGATGGATGAAAGATATTCAGGGGACATGTCTGTATTGAGAAGGGAGGATGAGAGGAGAGTCAAGACACTTGATGTTGATGCCTCCTGTATTACTTGTACTCTAGTGTATATCTGGTATTACACGATACCAGTTGGTAATCCTGTACGAGTTTATTGTACATTATTCGTATATTATCAGAGACATTATTTACAGAATTGTAAGTCTTACAATTCCCATGGAATGAGGATCTAACTCTCTGAAAATCTTCTCTTATTTTTGATACAGTAGCATCCTCGGTCAGTAATCAGCCAGCCAGCTCACATCATTCAGACATTCATGCTGAATTAAAAATGAAGCTGAATAGTAGGTAGTGTGGTGTAGTCAGCAGCCAAAAGTCCACTTAGCTGAACAACGCCTCTGTTCATTACAGTAATGGCTTTGATCTTTATTTTAAAGTAGGAAGATTGATTCCGTCTAATCTCTGAAACTTTACTACGATATTTCTCCTCTCTTATTCTCAGAATTGGTGGAGACATACCTAGTAAATAGAAAGAGACAATATTAACCCCTCGGTAGATACTCACTTTCAGGATATCAACACATAAGGTAAATCTCCCCTTCAATAATAATACACCCCACGCAGCAAAGGGCACTCACTCCCCAAACTTGCAGATTCCCATTCCCAAAATCTCCAATCTTCTCATCCGTAACATCCCCCCCTCCTGCCCCCCTACCTACCCTTCTCATGTCCTACTCTACTCGTACTATACAGGTTCTACACATCCACATCCACATCCACATCTTCCGCACAGTTCTTACTCGTACACGCACAGAAAACAAAACGTGGTTACAGGATACTCCGTACAGGAAATCAGAAACAAAAAATTGGGAACGGAGATGTCTAGATAAGAGTAAATCAGAAACGGAAACGGAAACGGAAACAGAAACAGGAAGGGGAGTGGGGGTACCTGTTTTGTAACCGTTCCTCCGATTTATCGGGTGAAAGAAGGGGGCGGAAAATTGGGATTGTAGAAGCAAACGCCGACGTCGAAAGGGTGAGGAGTGAGGAGTGAGTAAGTGGTGTTTTTTAGGGGATTTGTTTTAGGGTTGGGATGGGTTGATGGGATAGGCTATGAGGCTGTATTGTATAATGCAGGATGTGGGGTGGGGTACTCGAGTAGGTAGTAACGTTAACCCCTGCCCGTCTCCGTACAGTACAGGAGGTAAGTAATAGTGACTGAGCGCCGAGGCTAACATCTACGCTATCCATATACGAAGTACATTTAAAAGGGACATTAATAATCATTGAACTGAAGGTGATGATTCGAATGGATGGATAGGAGGGTAACACACAGGCCTAGGTACGAGTAACGGCGGCGGCGTTTGAATCGTTCAAACGTCAAACATCAAACATCAAACATCGGGGTACTTGTACATACGGAGTCCAAGTCCGTTCCGTATATCAGAATTGTGATATGAGAGAGGGCAAGTTGTACCTGTAGCTTGTTACTCGTACATAGGAAAGCAATGAATCATTTTTTGGGGGTAGTGGGGGGGGATGGTATGAGTAATTAGAGTAAGGCGACGAGGAATAAAACTTTGGCTTTATTAGAGGAAAGAAGAGGGTTTCTTTTCTGGAACGTATGGGTATGTTGTGGAATTTTGATTTGTCTTCTTTAAGTAATAGGAAGACGGGCGAGTAAGTTAGGGTTGATATTACGAGTAGTATTTCACCGTACCGTACCTAGCCTCTCAGATCATCCTTATTCTTCTTATTACCAAAACACCCCTAATATCCACATATTTAAATATTATAACTCCCCCTTCAATAAATATTATACCTACAAGTACAGCTTAAAGAATGCCTCATACTAGGTATACAGAAACAGAAATTCATAAAATGGTCGTAATTATCTCCATTTTAGTCCATACCTACTATCCTCTAACCTCGGTAGTATAGAACCGTGAATCGCGCTAAGCAGCACAGCAGAGAGCACGGCGCACCGTTCAACAAGAGCAACGTGTAACCCCCAACCCCCAGCTCGACGTCAATCATCAAACATCCTTTCTCCATACGATACCCACCTGTGGGGACTGACAGTACCTAGTATCCGTCCGTGCACATAGACTTACTTCTCCGTACATGGTGCTAGTGCTAGTGCGTCTATCGCGGCCTACATCTGCACATCCCATCTCATCCCCTACTCGGTACAGTACAATACTCGAGTACACTCGAAAGGAACCAGACTCTAAACCACATGTCATTATTCCTCACCAAGTGGGTTTGGTTTGGTTTGGGTTGGTTTACCAGGCCAGGGCAGGGCATTCCACGCTAGCTGCGCCTGGCATGCTGGTGAAGCGGTGAGGATAGGAGTTGAGGTTTCCCCGGTCCGTACTGTGGGTGGTTTCCTTCTATGGGTGGGTTCTTTATCACTTTTAGTACGGATAGGGGGGAATGAATGGCGCGAGATGGCGCGTTTTTAAGTAAATTGGGCTGTGATTTGGATTTTGGGATTTCGGTGCGAAGAGCTGGGTTGGATTGGATAGGACAGCCAGCACAGGACTGGGTAAGTAGGTGGGTACGGACTCGCATTCGCACCTGGGAAATCTTCGTTGCGTCCTCGTGGACGTGGAGGATGGATGGATGGATGGATTGGAAATGATGCGAGTGATGCAAGTCATGCTCGTTGGGGCACGCGTGAGTGAGTGGCTCTCCTCTGCTTTGGTTGGTGTCTCCGTATTCTACGGTACTGGTACAGTATGGTATGGTTGATAGAGCAGCTTCCATTCGAGGGATTTCCTCGGTGGGCGGTCATGTAAGCGCGGAGGTGAAGACCAAGGAGGGGATAAAATCTTGGATCTCTGGTTTTTTTTGGGCGCGATGTGCATGGATAGTGGGAAATATGCAAGGCGAGCAAGTGGTGCGTTATCTCTTTTTTCTTTGTGAGGGGGGGCAGATGGAGATGCTTGTCGTGAGATGGTTGAGGTCTTTGGATGGTGAGAGTCTTGGGGTTTACGTTGTTTTTATTTTTTGGTTCCTGACATGGCAGCCTACGTGGTGGAATGGGGATGGGGATGAGGCGGCTGTGAGATGTTATGCATGAGATGAACCACCAAGTAAATCAGATGATAAAGCCTCATTTTTTCTTGGATTCTCTTACTCATACTGGTCTACCTCTTACCTTCCTCCTCCCAGGCACTGACTCGAACCCCAAAGACTCGTTAGAACACATAAATAAAATCGCGAATAATACATCGTGCGAACCTACGAACGTTCTCTGTCATGATATGCTGCTCACCTGCTCCTCCACATACAGTACATACAGCGCCGCGGCATACCTACCCCAACTCATCAAATCCTCCCAAATCTACAGTATCGCCAGCCAATTACAAGTCCTCCACGGTCTTAACCATAATCCCCTTACTTCCGTATGCTATCCAACCTTACAGACCATTACAGTTTACCCCGCAAACCTAGAACCCCCTTCTCCCCTCTCCCTCTACACAAATAGAGGAGGGCTAAAATAAATGAAATTGAAATGAAATGAAATAACCTTATTTTCCTTTAATGATATTCCCGAGATTTGATGAACGTCTGCGAACTTTACTTCACTTACGTATGCTATTATAAACCTCCTTGGACAGTGGATGTTGATCTAAGTTTACCTTTCTGGGAAGACAGTGACGTATTAGTGATAGTACGGTACTTTGGTAATTTACCTACATGAAGTATAAATCCCTCTATCGAAGTTTATCAGTACTTAAGGCTTAGAGTAAGCTTATTCCTACCTACCTACCATACCATAACTACCACCATAAAACAAACCCAAGTACTTCAAGCTTTGTCATATGAAGTAGAAGTGGTATGATGTGGACGGTATACGTAATTCCATCCTCTCCTTTCTTCCTTCATTTCTTTCTCGCACACAGATACCAGACAAGTGAGGGGTAAATCCATCCCTCTCCTATATCGCAACAGTGTCTCAGTTTTGAGTCATTCCAGCGCTGTTTTCTCTTGGAAGGCAGTTTTTAGGGGTGATAAGTGGAAACGACGCGAAGATGTGGGGTTTGTGAGGGATTTTTGGGGGGGGTTGCTGGTCGAGTGAGATGGATGATGGTGCTGGTGGTGGATAAGGTGGTTTGGTTGGGTGTAGGTGTCTGGGAATTTCGGCTGGGTATTTGTCTCTTTTGGGGTTGTGGTTCTTGAACTAGCGGGGGGGGTTTGGGCTTTTTTGAGCACAGATGAGGGTTGTTGGTTGTTGTGGGTGGGTGTTGGATGAGGTCTTGACAAGAATGAAGGGCTTCTTGGAGATGGTTGGTTTCTATATTCTATAGAGGTTTGGAGAAGTTGATTTAGTACTTCTCGCTTTTTAATTCGTAGTTAACTATTAATGCTTAATAGGATTAAAAAGATCCTCGAAGTAGTACCGCGCGAATGCTACTATGGGACTGAACTATCTTAGTACAAGTATCTTCAAGATAGAGACGGGACGAAGCCTCCAAGTCCCGTGTCTTAGGGGCTCGCTAACTGCTTTTATAACCTATTTACCTTTCTTTCTCGTCGTCGACCAAAGGAAATTACCTGAATTTATTAGAAGTAACGAAATCATGAAATTTAATTGTTATATAAAATATTCTATTATAGGTAAAAAATAAGAAATGTATATAAGAAACATTCGAAATAAAATCTCTTAATTATATTTTCTCTATAAAAGATTAGAATTCTTTTTAAAAAAGTAAATTATTATTTGTATAGTTCTTCTTTTAAATTCTCTGTATATCTAATAATATATCTAGTAAGATTCGTTTACCTAGGTAGTTATATTATCTTTGTTAAGAATAATAGCTTAATAATTTAGACCCTGTTTGGTAACCCATATTATTTGACAGATTATTTATATAAGCGCGGATTTCGTACAAAAAATAAACTATAGATTATTTATATAGATTTTATACCGAAATTTACTTTGCCCGAGTTCCGACAGCGTGTAATTCACCCCCCTATTCTAAGCGGATATTCACCCCTCTATTCCAAGCGGATATGCAAGCTATTATTAGAATATACTACTTTTTATTATAACAATACTACGTCGCTACTACCGCTAGCTATTACAATAGCGGCAAGAGGGTTAAAATATAGCGATTCTCCCTTCTTGCCGTTAATATATTATACTCTAAGTATAGCCGCTGCGATAGTAATACGCTCTCTTTCCTCCCTAAATTCGTTGTTTAAATCGAAATCTAGATAATTAGGATCTATTGTAATAGTAAGCGAAGTAGTAAGTTATTTGTAGTTGTAGGCGT